ACTCCAACTCAAAAAAAAAAAGAAAAAAAAAGAAATTAAAAAAAATTTTTTTTTTAGTTGGAGTCTTACTCTTGTCACCCAGGCTGGAGTGCAGTGGCACACTCACAGCCACTACAGCCTCGACCTGCTGGGCTCAGGCAATCTTTCTACCTCCTTCCAAGTAGCTGGAAGTACAGACACATGCCACCCTGCCTGGCTAGTTTTTGTGATTTATTGTAGACGAGGTCTCACCAGGTTGCCCAGGCTGGTTTCGAATACCCGGGCTCAGGCAATCCTCTTGTATCAGCCTTCCAAAGTGCTGGAATTACAGGTTGAGCCACTGTGCCCGGCCACATTTTATTTTTTTTTGAGTTGAGGGGTTGCCCAGGCTGGAGTGCAGTAGTAGGATCACAGCTCACCACAGCCTCCACCTCCTGGGCTCAAGTGATCTTCCTGCCTCAGCCTCCCAAGTAGCTAGGACTATAGGTGCATGCCTCTGTGCCTGGCTAATTAAAAAACATTTTTTTTTTTTTTTTTTAGAGATACAGTCTTGATGTTGCCCAGGCTGGTCTCAAACTCCTGGTCTCAAGCAATCCTCCTGCCTCTGCCTCCCAAAGGGTTGGGATTACGGGTGTGAGCTGCTGCTCCTGGCTGGGTGTGTGCATTTTAAATCTGGTAGGTATCACAGAGCTGCTCTCCACAGAGGCTGTGGGGGCTTGTGCCCAACTTACACTGCACCCACAATGCAAGAGGGGCCCCTGTGCTCTCTGATCCCTCACACAGTGTGCAGTTCTGATAAAGGGCTGTCCTCCAGTGAGTTTCAACTTGAAGTTTTCTGGCGAGCTATTTTCAAAAGCATGAGTGTCATCTGTGTTTCCCTTTCTGTAAAATGCTTCCCATGCCCGTTTCCTGAAGGGGTGTTCAGGCCTGTGTTCAAATCCTGACCCTGTGTGCCTTGGCCAGGTGACTCTGTGGTGGCCAAGCCTGTGTCCTCATCTGCAAATGGGAGTCACAACAGATCCCTCAGCCCGAACACTTTATTTATTGATTGATTGATTGATTGATTGAGTCGGAGTCTCACTCTGTCGCCCAGACTGGAGTGCAGTGGCCGCTCCCGGCCACCGGAGCCTCGACCTGCTGGGCTCCGGCGATCCTTCCGCCTCAGCCTTCCGAGTAGCTGGAACTACAGGCACGCGCTACCACGCCCGGCTAATTTTTGATTTATTGTAGAGACGAGGTCTCGCCAAGTTGCCCAGCGGGTCTCGAACCTGCAGGCTCAGGCAATCCACTCACCTCAGCCTCCCAAAGCGCTGAGATTACAGGCAGAGCCACCGAGCCCGGCAGCCTGAACACTTTATAGAAGAGGTGATATTCATAAAGTGACAAAGTGCTGCTCAGAGTGGCTGCTCCTTAACAGTGGCATGAGAGTCATCTCCTCCAGGGAGGGTCACAAGCAAAGCACTCCACTCTGGGCCTTTCAGGCCTCTCTAAGTCCAGATTTATCTGCAGTGCCGAGCCACCGTGTGGTAGCCATTCCCCAATGGGTCCAGAGTGTGAGGCCTGGGGGCCAGCTGAGGCTGGGCCTGTGGACAGGGAAGGCTGGAAGCAACGAAAGGAAGCAAATGAGGGAGGAAGCTTCTTCCATGGCCCTCCACTAGATGTGGACTGGTGCAAACATGGAGGCATAAAGGATGTGCACCAAATGGGTATGCTTTAAGGCAGGGGTCCCCAACTTCTGGGCCACGTATTGGTACCAGTCTGTAGCCTGTGATGAACCCGGCCACATAGCAGGAGGTGAACAGCTTCATCTGGATTTACAGCCACTCCACCTCCTGTCAGATCAGCGGCCTCACTAGATTCTCACAGGAGCAGGAACCCTCTTGTGAGCTGCGTATGTGAGGGATCTAGGTTGTGCGCTCCTTGTGAGAATCTAATGCCTGAGGATCTGAGGTGGACCTGAGCAGTGGAGCTAGCACTGGGGAGTGGCTGCAAATATAGATTAACATTAGCAGTGAGATTTGACTGCACAGAGACCATAATAAATCAATTGCTTGCAGACTCATATCGAAACCCTATTATTGAGTGGCAAGTGAGTTGATGTACTTCAGTTGTCCAGCTGCATCTGGTGGCAGGCTTTAAGTCAGAATCTGACACCTATTTTAGTCTGTGAGCGGTCCACCCATTACTTTATTTACCACTTCTGTCTGCCTTTTTTAAAATGATGAGTTGCTCAGTTATTTAATTATATATTATAATGCAATAATAATAGAAATAAAGTGCATAATAAATGCTATGTGAGGCTGGGCTCGGTGGCTCAGTCTACAATCCCAGTGCTTTGGGAGGCTGAGGTGAGTAGATTGCCTGAGCCCGCGGGTTTGAGACCAGTCTGGGCAACTTGGCGAGACTGCGTCTCTACAACAAATCAAGGATTAGCTGGATGTGGTAGCGCACGCCTATAGTTGGAAGGCTGAAGGAGAAGAATCGCCAGAGCCCAGTGGGTTGATGCTGGGGTGGCCATGAGTGTGCCACTGCACTCCAGCCTGGGTGACAGAGTAAGACTCCAACTCAAAAAAACAGAAAAAAAAGCCACGTGCTTGAATTATCTTGAAACCATCCCCCTACCCGCAGTCTATGGAAAAACTGTCTTCCACAAAACTGGCCCCTGATGCCAGAAAGGCTGGGGAATGGTGCATGAATGGATCTTGCTCTTGCCAGAACCTGTGCTGGGCACCCAGTGGTGACAGAGACAGCCCTGGATCCCGCCCTTTCAGTCCAGTGGGGAGACAGACTCATCATTAGACAGTGACAGTCCAGAGGGGTCAGGGCTGTGGGAACCCAGGAGATACTTGAGCCTGATGGCAGGATATCAGGGGAGGGCTTCCTAGAGGAAGCAACAGCCAAGCTGTGGCCTGAAAGACGAGGGAAAAAAATGTGCCAGAAGAATGTGTGTCTCAGGGATTATCATGAGTCCCATTTGACAGATGAGGAATCTGAGCCTTAGCACGATAAAGCCACTTGCCCAAGGTCAATGGGAAGGAAATGACAGAGACTGCAAGCTGTCCTCCAGGATCTGTTTTTCCTTAATAACTCCACATCCCAAATTTTAGCTGGGCACATGGCCCCATTCCCAGCCTGCCCTGGTCAACAGGAAGTAAGTGTAGGAAGAATGTGAAGTTTTGGGAAAAGTCATCGTAAAGGGAGTGCCCCTCCCCCACCTGCTGGCTGGAGCTAGATACTACGATGGCCAGAGCTCTGGCAGCCCTCTTGGATGGGAAGGATGAGCCCCCTAGAAATGATGACAGCAGTGAGTTGGAAGGAGCCTGAGCCCTAATGAATTTGTGGAGGTGCAGCACCAGCCCAAGAAGGCCCATCTCAGGGACTCTGGCCTGCATAAAGACTTGTGTGCTTAAGTCGTCGTTAATTTGTGTTTTCTGCCACATGCAGCCAAACCAAATCCAAATCCAATTTGTATTCTGCAATTCTGCACTGTGATAATAACACAGTCATAACACACAGTCTATTGAGGGTTTGCTCTGTGCCTGACATATTTTACATACAGTGTTGCATAAAATCTTCATGACAGCCCCAGGCAGCTGGCGCTGTCACCGACCCTGGTTGGTCGACAAGGTAACGGGATCAGGGATATGAAGAAACTTGCCCAGGTTGCATAGGGAGCAAGAGACAGGGCAGGACTTGAACCCTGCTCCCTGACTCTAGAACTTGATCAGGTCCCCCACAAAGCCACAAGGCCCTACATTAATCCTTCTGGGACAGAGAAGGTGGGAGTATCTGGCAAGGTTGGGTGAAGGTGCCTACCTTCGTACGCCTTGGCTGCGTTCACCAGGCTGGACCACTCAAGACCGGTGGCCGTGTCGGGCAGCGGCATCATCCCAGGGTCGAGGCGCCGCAGGGGCCGGTCCCGTCCGTCAGCCAGCGAGAGCTCTGAGGCTGAGATGGCAGCTGGGTAGGCAGAGCAGAGATGGGAAAGGGTTGAGCACGCCAACACGGGAGAGAGAAAGAAACAAAGACATTATGTCATTTATTCCAAGATGCTAAGTGCCAGGGATAACCTCCAGCAGGTAAGGAGGATGGAAGTGCTGGATCTTTAAGTAAATGTGACTTTATTTTGTATGTACGTATGTATTTATTTAGAGTTGGAGTCTCACTTTGTTGCCCAGGCTGGAGTGTAGGGGCATGCTCATGGCCATTGCAGTCTCGACCTGCTGGGCTCAGGTGATCCTTCTGCCTCAGTTTTCCAAGTAGCTACAACTACAGGCATGCACCACCACGCCTGGCTATTTTTTTTTAGTTGTAGACATGAGGTCTCACCATATAGCTCAGGCTGGTCTTGAACCTGTGGGCTCAGGCAATCCTCTCACCACTGCCTCCCAAGGTACTGGGATTACAGGTGTGAGCCACTGCACCCGGCTTATTTTTATTTTTATTTTTTTTGAGTTGGAGTCTCACTCCGTCGCCCAGACTGGAGTGCAGTGTTCGCTCCCGGCCACCGCAGCCTCGACCTGCTGGGCTCCGGCGATCCTTCCGCCTCAGCCTTCCAAGTAGCTGGAACTACAGGCATGCGCTACCATGCCCAGCTAATTTTTTTGATTTATTGTAGAGATGAGGTCTCGCCAAGTTGCCCAGGCGGGTCTTGAACTCTGCGGGCTCAGGCAATTCACTCACCTCAGCCTCCCAAAGGTGCGGGATTACAGGCTGAGCCACCGAGCCCGGCTATTTTTTTAAAGATGGTGTCTCACTGTGTTTTCCAGGTAAGAGTACAGTGGCTATTCATAGGCAGGGTCATGGTGCACTGCAGCCTTGAACCCCTGAATTCAAGTGTGCTCCTGCCACAGCATCCGGAATCGCTGCGATGACAGGCATGTGCCACCACACCCATCTAGGTGTGACTTTGAACGAAGTGCTGGGGGAAGCCTGGCAGAGGTGATATCTGGACAAAACTCTGAAGGAATGGAGTAAGTCAGGGATTCCCGGGGGAAGAGCATTCCAGGCAGATGGAACTGGCAGCACTAAATCCCTGAGGCAGGAATGTGCCTGTAATGTTTAAGGAACATTGAGGAGGCCTGTGTGGGGCCCTGTGAGCGCCAGTGAAGGCTTGTCTTTTCACCCTGAGCGCGATGATGCCCCTGGAATGCTCCCTCTGGCTGGTGTGGGAGATGGACTCTGTGAGCAGAGGCTGCGTCCCCAATCCAGAAGGGAGACGATAACAGTGGACAGGACCAGGGTGGGCCATGGTGGGACCACAGGCAGATTCTTGGTCTGTTTTACAGATATAGCCAGAGCAATTTCCTGAGGAACGGCTGGGGTGTGAGACAAGCAGAAGGGCACAGGCTGGTGCCACAGCGCTGGCCTAGGCACAGATGGAGGAAGCTGGCAGGGGAGGTGAAAGTTCGTTTCGATGCCAGTCCGGGAGACATGGGAGGAGGCTGGCCACAGGAGCTGGGGCTCAGGAGGATATCGGGGTGCAGACATAGATTTGGGTTGCCAGTGTAAAGACAGGGTTTCAATGTGGCAGGGTCGCCATGGGAGATCTGGTGGGTTCAGGTATGGCATGCGGGCAGAGAAAGAGACCCCTGGAGTCTCAGCGGCTTAGAAGTAACAGCGCAAACATGGCTGCAGCTATCATGCACAGGGCCCTGGGCTCCTCACAGCCCCTGAAGGGAGGGGACAGCGGATGACAGCAAGGCACAGAGAGGTCAGGAGACATACCTGAGGGGACTCAATCAGAAATGGCAGAGCTTGACAGTGAACCGAGCTGCTCTGTGTTCCCTGGACTGAGCCTGGCACTGAACCGGGGGCCTATGGGGATCATCTCAAGCCTCTATTAGCCAGCGGGAGGTGCTGTTATAATCCCTAGGCATGGTGGAGGGAAACTGAGGCTCAGAGCCAGACACGGCCTTGCTGGGTCCACATGGCTTCGAGCTCGTAGTTTTCAGTGCTCACTACATGTCGGGCATTGTGCTAAGTGTTTACTTCTACTAACCCCATGAGGTGGCATGATTTTTGGCCATGTTTTTCAGACAAAGAAACTGAGGCACAGAGAGGTCACGTCTGTGAGCAGAGGGCCTGGGACACAAGCTCAGGCCATCAGCTCTCCGCATGTGGGTGCGTGAACAAGCCCTGACCTTCCTGCTCTGCCTTAACCCCCTGCTCGCATCTCCAGCCTCCTAGCTGGCTGGTGGAGCTGAGAGAGCAGCTGCTATGGCAGAGTGAGTCATCAGTGACATCGGTAACAAGCACCTGGGCCTGGGGGCACTTGGCTAGTGAAGCCAGGCCTGGCCAAGGGCGTCTCTTCAGCTGGGGGGGGGTGCAAGAGGATCTGGGGCAGGCACAGGAGAGGTGGAGAGCCTCAGAGGCTCAGGGTCCCTCCCATGCTGAGGCCGGACGGGACTCTCCCTGGCTCAGGGGGACAGGAGGGTCAGTTGGGGAGGGGGTCTGCGTGCACTGTGAAGCTGAGGGCCCTGAGCTGGGGTCGCAGCAGTGGCAGAGACAACCCAAGGCCCTATCCTCAGGAAGCCCCCAGCGCAGTGGGGGAGGCAGATGCATTGTTTTGAGGCAACAACCCAGGGTGAGTGGGGCTGTGATGGGGAAACATTCGGTAAGGGCTGGATTGAATGGGAGAACCCCAGGGGGCCTGCATAGCTGCCTGAATGGGCCTGGTAGGGGGGATGGAGGACTTCCTGGAGGAAGGAGCATCTGAGCTGAGACAGAGAATGAGGCAGGTGGGTTGGAGAGACTCAGATCTGCGTGGAGTCTAGGTCTATGTCCTCTGTGCACACCAGCTCCCTGCCTTGGCCCCCCCCCCCCCCCCCCCGCTTGGCTGTGGCTGAACACCTACCACGCACCAAGCCTTTCCTCAGGCAGAGCAGCAAAGAAGAGAGGCAGTTGAGGGAGACACACTGTGAAGTTTGGGAGCAGGAGAGATTCCACCCAAGCACACGGGGATGTGCTCTGATTTGCTCAAAGCTGCATCCTCAGCGCTTAGCGCAGAGCCTGGCCCACAGCCGGCGTCCAGAACATGCGCGGACAGAGGGCACCAGAGGGGAGCTAGGGGGCTCTGAGGCAAGAGGTGGGGGCTGCTGAGTCTGGGACTTCGGGGAGCCATCGAGGAGAGAGCAGTGGTTGAGCCCAGCACTGCGGATAAGCAAGAGTGACCCACAAGAGGGCTGAGGAAGAGCATGTGGGCAGAGGAACAGCCCTGTGGGATGACCTGAGGGGATGGGATCTAGAGGAGGGTCCCGGAGGGGGAGGGGCTGAGCTGGGGCCCCGGAGGGAGACCCAAGACATCAGGGCACGGAACGCAGGTGCAGATACCAGAGCCACGGAGGATGTGAAGGGGGAAGATGGACACCCTCAAAAGTCCCAGAGTGTCCTCCGTCCCACCCCACCATGTAGAGAAGCTCCATCGGATAACACAGGGGCACAACTCTCAGCCGAGACCCTCGTGGCAGAAAGCGTCCCTGAATTCAAGGTGTGTTTAGATTTGAGTCAGTGTGCAGATACTGCATCGTATATAACACATAATCCAGCACCCTGGATTCAACACACCGGAGCTCCACACTGAAGCAATACATCACTCAGAAGCGGGGAAAACAGGGGCTGCAAGCAGCCTCACGTCCACCTGGGTTGGTGCCAGTGGACACATCACCCTTCAGTTCTGGGACCTTTGGGACGTGGACAGGGGATGGCAGGGTGGACTGAGGGCCCGGTCAACCCCAGCTGGCCCACGGCTTTTGATGGAGACGAGGTATACAGCGGCCTGCTCACAGGGGATGCTCAGTAGGCGTTTGCTGAATGAATAAAGGGGTGGGCTGGGCTCGGTGGCTCAGCCTGTCATCCCGCGCCTTTGGGAGGCTGAGGTGGGTGGATTGCC